GTCCCGCCTGCAGGCCGCGTGAGGCACAAGAATCCCTGGCTCTGGCCCTGCCGGCGACTCAGGGTGAGTTCACGTGAGGTTTGACCAGATGGAGCCACTCTTTGGCCCCTTCATTGTGGCCACGAAGTTTCAATCGCACTGCAGGTGGTATTTTGTGGAAGAGCCACACTCAAGGGGTCACAGTTTGCTGACCACTGGGATAGAGCATCAGCCTTCGGATTGAAGGGTCCCGGTTTCGATTCCGGTCAAGGGCACATGCTCAGGTTGCAGGCTCAATCCTCAGTAGGGGGCGTGCAGGAGGCAGCTGGTCAATGATTCTCTCTCATCAGTGATGTTTCTCTCTCTCCCTCTCCCTTCCTCTTGAAATCAATAAAAATGTATATTTTAAAAAACTTCCAAATGGCCCTTGGCAGAATGAAGGGTCCCCCCACCCCAGCCCACAGCTTAGGCCAGACCCCACATGCGTCCCTCGTAGACCAGGGGCCCTGTGAGGAAGGCGGCCGAAGGGCTAGTTGCACTCTGCACCGCCCACTGCAGCCCGGCTGCCCGATACGCAGTCCATGCCCACCACACGGTGCAGCCTGACCCCCACAGAAACGTCCACGACCCCCTGCATCCCCCGGACCACGTCTGAGCCCCAGCGGGTGGCGGGGCGGGGGGTCAAGGGCGACCACCTACCCAGGCTCCTCCTCTCCCGGGCTATGGCGCCTGCAGCCGGATAGGGCCCAGGACCACGTCCACCTTCTCCTGGTAGGAGCCCAGGTCTCGCTTGGGCCTGGGCTGGCAGCCGCCCCGGCAGCGGGAGGCGGGGTCGTGGGCCCTGCACACGAGCACCTTGCAGTGCAGGTACACGGCGGGGAGGCGGTGCAGGAAGTGGAAGGAGCGGGAACTTGAAGCGGGCGAGGCCGGGTGCGGGCGCGGGGAGGGGCCTGGTAGGTGTCGTCCCTCACGCACCTGCAAGGAGAGAGCAGAGGGGCGCCATCAGGCTCAGGGCCTCAGCCGCTCCGACCAGGATCCACTGCGCCTGGGACCCAAGCCTCCTGCTGCACCCCTCCTGCGCCCCCTGCTGCACCCCCTCAACCCACCCTTCCTGCCCCCCGCCCCCGCCCACATGTCTGCCCTGGAGCGTGGTTGGAACCAGGACGGTGAGAACATCCATTCTCGGCTGATTTGGGGCGACATTGGGCGCCCTTGGCCACGCCCACTGAGGACCCGCCCTCCCCGCTGCGCATCCTCTCTCCCAAACCCCACCTACGCTCTCCCTCATCCCCCAACAGCCCCTGATGTGGGCGTCCTCCTGCTCACTTGGTGGGTGGAGACACGGGCGCAGGAAGCCACTGCCCCCAGTAGGTGCAGCTGGCACCTGGCATCTCATCTCCATCTGCTCCCCAATGAAAGCTTTCCCACCACACCCACGTCCTTGACGCCAGGGCTTGCCCCGAGCTCCTCACTGGGCCTCATCCCATTGACAGGCTTGGGGGCCACCGGGCAGCAGGCGCCCCCTCCCTGGGCGTTAACCAGAGGGGCACCCTGATGGGCTCGGCTGAGCTCCCAGGACCCAAGGCCTTGGCTCGCTGGTGGGACACGCTTACCCGCTCCGGATGAGGTCGTAGGCCACAGAGGGCAGGTCCTGGGAGGACGGCGACGCCACGCAGGTGTCCACGAACAGGGCCATGGGGGCGGCGGCGCGGCGGATCTCGGCCTGAACGTACAGGTCCTGGTTCAAGCGCACGTAGTAGGGGTGCATGGTCACGGGGTAGGCGAACGAGGACGACGTGTAGAAGGACATGTTGACGGCGAAGTTGCCGTACTGCACTTCCTGGACCTCGGCGTTGTCGTTGGCCACGTACATGAGGTCCACCCAGGTGTCCCGCAGCATCCGGCAGCTCACGTGGAGGTGCAGGCTCGGCCGCCTCTGGATGAGGCCGTTCCCGACGGGGATGGCTGCTTGGAGGGTGTTGGAGTAGGTGATGGTGTCGTTATCCAGCTGGAGGGGGCGGGAGAGGGCGTCAGGCACCCGGCCCTGCGAGGGGATCTCGCTGCTGGTCTTGTTAGAGTCAGAAGTGACTCAACGCGCTTCACAACCCTCCCAGGCCCAGCCGGCGTGGCTTCAGGCCCCACGGAGCCCTGGCGGCGCCGTGGCTGCGACGATGGACGTGCTGGGCAGCCTGCCGGGCGCCCTCCGCCTGGACGGTGGGGAGACCGCCTGCCGCCGCCTCCCTGTGGTTGGAAGTGGGAGGGACACGGATGCCTTCACCCCGATGACGTTCCGCTTCGACAGACACAATCCGTCCCCTTCGCCCCAGAATCCAGGACATGCCGGGACGTCGCCGGGAGGAAGCGGGCTCGGGGAGGGCGCGGGAAGGCCGCTCACCTGCTGGGTGGTGCCGCAGCCCGCGTAGGGGATGGTGAAGGTCACCTGGCTCGCCGTGACCTGGGCCTGACACTGCTGCACGTCCTGCCAGTGGAGGATGACCAGGTCGCTGGCCGAGTAGCCCAGGGACTGCAGGTAGCTCCGGCTCACGTTGGCCTGCATCCGGTCCGGCAGGCAGAGCAGCTCTGGGGGCCGAGGGCGGCCGGGTCAGTGCGCGCCCCAAACCCACTGGGGGCTCCCCCACCCCTGCCCCGTGCACACAATCGAGGGACTGACAAAGGTGGTCCACATTAGGGTCTTTTCACACAGCCCCCCCCAAGGAGCCCTACGCACACGGATGGAGAAATGGAGGCAGGCCCTGGCCGGTGTGGCCCAGGGGGTAGAGTGTCAGCCCATGGACTGAGAGTTACGGGTTCGAATCCAGTCAAGGGCAAGTTCCTCAGTGGCAGGCTTGATCCCCGGCCGCACGGAGGCAACCAGTCGATGTGTCTCTCCGACATGGATGTTTCTCTCTCTCTGTCTCTCCCCCTCCCGTCCACTCTCTCTAAAAATCAAGGGGAAAATGTCCTCAGAGGAGGATAACAAAAACAAACAAAAGAAATGGAGGCCGGATGTGGAAGGAGGAGCTGTCCTGCCAGGTCACCGTGAGCCGCAGAGTAAAGTGACGCTCGGGTGGAATCGTGGGGACGCGGTGAAATAGGGTCCGTGGGCTGTGGAGCTGGCAGGGCTGAGAGTCCCGCGGAAAAAGGGCTGGGACAGCACCTGCCCGCCGGCCACAGTCCGTCGTCCGTCCGTCTGTCCATCCCCTGCACAGCTCCACTCCTGGCCACCAGCCTCTGCTGGGCCTGGTGCAGCGACCAGGGGCCTCCAGGCGGCAGCCACACGTGCCAGGTCTCAGGACACAGTCACGGTGCCCCTCACTCTGATGGTCACAGGTCTCCCGCCAGGGCCACTTCCGCCCTGGGCATGGCGTCCACTGGTCCCTTCCGGCGGCAGATCCGGAACTCGGACCTGCCGGCGGCTCTGGTCTGCTGTCCCGCCACTGCGGGTGCCGGGGGGCAGGCACCCTGCCCCGAGATCCTGGGACTTACTGGTGCTGTGGTTGGAGGGACGGGAGTAGTAATCGGCCTGGAACCCGCTGCGGGTGACGCTGCCGTCGCTGACGAAGCGGATGGACATGAAGTTGGAGGACGACGTGAAGGAGTCCCTTGAGCCGTGGCAGACCCGGGCGATGAGCGGGGAGCTGAGGGCGGGGCCGTCGAACACCTCGATGTAGTCGTAGTTACAGTTGCTCTCCAGCCTGCGGACGCGGGGCACAGGGTGTGGGCTCCACTTAACTAAAGGCTTTGCTGTTGTTTTGTTATCCTCCCCTGAGGGCTTTTCCCATCGATTTTTAGAGAGAGTGAGGGGTGGTGGGGGACAGAGAGAGAGACAGCGATGTGACAGAGACAGAGATAGGTTGCCTTCCACAGGCACCCCGACTAGGGTCAGGGACTGAGCCTGCAACTCAGGTACCTGCCCTTGACCAGGAATCGAACCTGCGACCCTTCAGTCTGAGGGCTGACACTCTATCCACTGAGCAAACCAGGCCAGGGCTTATCCCTCCATTTTTCTAAAATATATTTTTATTGATTTCAGAGAGGAGAGAAAGGGGGAGAGAGATAGACACATCAATGATGAGCATCATGGATCGGCTGCCTCCGGCACGCCCCCTACTGGGGATGGAGCCCACAACCGGGCACGTGCCCTGACTGGGACTCCAGCCCTGACCTCCTGGGTCAGAGGTGGACACTCCATCCCTGAGCCATGCCGGCTGGCTCATCCCTCCATTTTGACTGCGGCTCGGGAAAGGCCAGTGACGTCCTGTGGCCACACGGGCAGTAGGGACCACACAGACCGGAAGCCAAGGCCCTGTGCTGGCCCCACTGCCGGCTGCCCCTGTTTTGGGTTGAAAACCGCGCCCACGGGCAGAATGCCAACGGGCAGCCTCTCTCCCAGGGCGCCGGCTCCGGTCCCTCCTTCTCCACATCCCCGAGGTCCCCCCGAGGCCCCGAGGCACCGCGGCCGCCCGCACCCCACTCACTGCACGTCTCTGAAGACGACGGTCACGCGGTGGTTGTTCTGGACCTCGATGTCCCACACGCAGCGGGCGTTGTTGGGGTAGCTCCCGGGGTAGGACGGGCTGGAGAAGCGCCCCGAGGGCCGGGACAGGAAGCCCCCACAGGCCCCCGCGGCTGCCGGGACAGAGGAGATGCTGGTCACCCAGAGCACAGGGCGCACCACCCGGGCGGGGGGAGTTTTACTTATTTATTAGTTTTAAATCCATTTTTACTGATTTTGAGAAAAAGGGAGAGGGAGTGAGAGATAGAAACATCCCTGATGAGAGAGAATCATGGATCGGCTGCCTCCTGCACGCCCCACACTGGGGATGGAGCCCACAACCTGGGCCTGTGCCCTGACCAGGAATCGAACCCTGACCTCCTGGTTCATAGTTCGACACTAATCACTGAACAACGCTGGCCGGGAATGAGAGGGGGATTTGAAAACAATTCCCAAGGCAGACACCCTACAGGCTGTGGCCCCAGCGTGGCCTGTCCCTGAGGCTGAGGGACACGCAGGGAAGCCACCGCCTCGCCATTCCCGCCATCTCTCCCAGCGTCACTGACGGTCACCGAGGGCAGGGAGCGCAGGGCTTACCAGCTGGCCTTGTGCTGGTGAAGGGAGGCTCTGGGGACAGAAGGAGAGATCATGGTCAGTTTCCTGCCATCCTTGGCTCAGCCTCTGAGCGCATGTTCGCTCTGTGCCAGCCCTGTGCCACCCGGGGCCACAGCGAGACGCTGGACACAGGCCGCGCCCTCCGGAGCTCCCAGCCTGAAGGAGGTGGGAGCGGCCGGGGAGAGGTCAATGGGGGGAAAGGAGACACATGTAATACTTTCAACAATAAAGAATTTAAATACAAACACACACACACACACACACACACACACTATCCAGCTGGCGGGGGCAATGTGGGGAGTGAGTGTGTGTGAGCAGGATGCTGGCTGTGTGCACGCAGGCGGGTGAGGGTGCAAGGGGCCTGGGGAGGGTGTGTGTGCAGGTGGAGAGGGGCGGCGCACTTGCGGGCACCTCCGCCATGCACAGGCGCATCGGGACCCACAAGCCGCCGCCCTGTGCGTGAGGCGGAAGAGCGAGGGCCGGTAGGTGATGGGTGCCACCAGCCTGGGAAGAAGATGAAGAGACAGGATGTTCCTGGAGAGGTTGAAAGTCCATGGCCCAGAGTGTGACAGAAGAGAGTCAAGTCTTGTCCTTATTGCAGGACGTGTCAGAGCCTTGACCATCCAGGTCACAGTCCATGGCCAGGGAGCCCCTGGGAGCACTTCCCACCATAATTGGCACCGAGTGTTTCCATCGGGACACAGAGAGCAGTCGGGGCTTGTGCTCTTGGGTAAAGGAACCTGTTACCAGACGAGCATCTGTAGGGGTTCTACTCGGCCATGTTTCTACAATGGTCACCTTTCGCCACGGGTTGACCTGGATGGTTATTTGCACCTGAAATGCCAGGACCATCCTCTCCCACCACAGCCTCTCCAAGGCCCGGAGGCGGCGGGGGCAGGGCTCAGAGGGGCTCCCAGGCGGAGCCCAAGGAAAGGTGCTTACTGTGCCCTCAGCACATCACCGTGGAAACCCGGATCATCAGAGAGAAAAGCTACTCAGGAGCCCGCCCTTCTCTTCCTGCAAACACAGAGCAGGGGCTCCACCAGAAGCCTGGGCCATGGGACTCACCTGGGGTGGTCACGACGATGGGCGGAGCTACGAGAAAGAAAAGCATCGGGGTCAGTCCTGGGCCCAGGGTGTGTGGGAAGGAGACCCTCAGGATGCGGACAGAGGGGCTCCTGCGTGCCCCCTCCCACCCCCGTGGCCTCAGAATTGCTCCAGGGAGCGGCCCACGGGAGCTGCCTACTAAGTGGAACCTCAGGGACTTTTCTCAAAAAAAGGTGTTGGGGTTTCTCTGAGGGCCAGGCTGGGGCCATGTGACAGCCAACCCCAAACTTCCAGGAACCCAGCAGCTGCTGGCGATGTGAGCTTGAAGCTGAAACTGCCCGTCTCCTGCTGGGCTGAGGTGAGAGGAGCCCTGAAACCAGGGTGCCGCACTAACAGGGAGGCCCGGAGACGGGACACACCTGAGCAGATGACGCCGGCGTCCTCGTGGTGCCCACAGTTGTGCGAGTTCCAGCCCCTGTGCGGGCAGTTCCACAGGAAAGACTCATGCCCCGAGCAGCCCACGTCGTCCAGCACGATCGGGCCTGAGCCCTGTCCGAACCGGGCACTTCCTGGGGCCGCCCTGGCCCAGCCACAGCCCAGCTGCCTGCACACCACGTTGGCGTCGTTGGTGTCCCACCCATCGTCACACACCGTGCCCCAGGAGCCTCGGTAGAGGACCTCCACGCGGCCCTGACACCGGTCACTGCCATTCACCAGCCTCAGGGCCAAACCTGAGTCATTCTGGAACCCTAGACAATGGTACAATGACACCTTCTCCATGTCTGTGCTGAGCTCCAGGCCCGAGGCTTGTTCTAGACTGAGGGCTCCCAAATGGCAACGCCCCATGGCAAAAGGTCAGCATTGGACACACCCAGGAGTTCATCTACATCAAAGGGAAAGGAGCAGGGACACCCTACAAGGTTTAAGGGTACACCTAGGTAGGGGGCCCAGGATTGCCCATGGGGTGAGCTGGACTGCCCCCCGCATCCACTAGGGCCACGCAGGGTACAGATTCAAGGCTCCCGGGACAGGTCAAGACCATGTCCTGCTTGGCCACTTATTTCTTCTCCATGGTCCTGCCTGACTTGAGGCAAAGCTCTCAGAGGGGATGGGACCTCTGTCAGACATGAGAGGATAGAGACTCAACCCCCTGAGGCTGAGCCTGCACAGGGCTCTCAGCAGGTCCCAGGAGGCCTCCAGGGCTGACCCTGAACAAGAGGGGAAGGTCCTGGTTGAGCCACCAAACAAGCCTTCTGGAGACAAGTCACCAAACAACCATGTCAGACAAGGGACCTGATCAGAGGCGCTCCTCTCACCCCACCCCTTAAGGGACAAGGATGAGGATGACCAATGTGGAGCCTCTTCCTGTCCAGTTCCATCCCTGGCGAGATTCAGACTCAGAGAGAGGCCCTGGGAGGGTGAAGGGACCTGTACCTTCGGTTGTTTGAGAGGAGGAAGCCATGGATGGACTTGTGGAAGGAGTTGTCCATGGGTATGGAGGAGAAAACAGAGAGGAAGGGCATGGTGAGGCCTCAGGAAAGGAGTCCTTCCCATAGGGTGGGACGGTCAGCGTGACTTTCCCATGTGCCCCCTGCACGTGCTCCCTGCCTGTCCACAGCCTCCCGCTCCGCTGAGTCAACAGGGTCGAAGGCCTGGGTGAGACCAACCTTATCCCTCCACGTCTTTGACCGCCATGTTCCTCCCCATCAGAAGACCTTTCCCAACTCTCCTGCATGAGCCAGGCACTCACTGGTGGGCTTAATGTGTTGGACTGACTCTGATGCTTGGCTAGAAAGAGTCAGGGCCTGGTGATTGAACCAGGAGGCCAGCAGAGCTCCTGTTAGCCAGAGCACGCTCATCACATGTTCACTGCCAGCCCCCGGGCACTGTCTCTTCCCCCTTGCGATGCAGGTGTGACTATGCTGACCCTCAGGGTGTGACAGGTGTGACAGGAGGAAAGAACCAAGAAGCCTGCTGTCCCGTCATCAGAAAGCCAATGGGCATCAGGGTCCACTATCCCACAAAGCCCTCCTCAGCCTGGAGCCACGGGGCCACCTTCACGGAAGGGGCGCACTTCTTGACCATCGGCCGCTCTCCCCCGGGAAGGCCGGCAAGAATCTGATGAGAACTCACAGGGAGGAAGGACAGACGGAGTCTTTGGAACTCCCCCCACCCCCTCTAGTGACGGAGACAGAGGGCAAGAGTGTGGTCCAGAAGGGGTACAAAGAGCCTTAGGTCAGCTGGAGAGGGCCGACCGGTAGAGGTGGGCAGGACAGAGGGACATCACAGGACACGTGGCTGGGACACACCTGGCCAGGTTGTGGAGGTATGTGTAGCCGTAGGAAAAGAAAGAACAGTCAGACCTCCAGCTCCCAGGTGCCTGGCCCAGATCCCGGATTGAAGACCCTCATCTTCTACACACGGAGCTGATGCCGTGCACATGGCCTCGCGGTGGACGCAGAGGTGCCGCCCTGAACCTCGCAGTCCTTCCCAAGCCACGCCCTCTGTCCCTTTGCCATGGCCTGCCTCCCGGAACCCGAGGACTTCCTGTCCAGTGTATAGAAGCCAGTGTCATGCCTGGGACAGGCCACCAGGGCCCTGGTGTTGACCCCACAGAATGAACGGGGAATGACCCCAACAAATGGGGTCAATCAATGTGCACACTGATGTTTCAGCCTTGACGCATTCGGATATTGAGAGTTTACACCCATTTCTAGAGTTTTCCATGGGGTCCTAATACCCCATCCCCAAGGCCCCCATTGGTTCCTTCCATTCATTGGCCACCTGCCATCTCCCAGCACCCCCTGCTCCCTCCCACTCTCTCTGTCCTTCACTAAGGACCTCTGTGCTCTCAGGTTGTCCCCTCTGCTTCACTAGATTGGAGCCCCCAGGTGACAACATTCTCACAGAGGGGAGGTGCTTACCAAACCGAACACCCAGGGGCCAGCTACCCTGGAAGGAAGCCCCAGGCACCATCCACGTGGCAGTGACCTGGCTCTGGGGCCACAGGGACACCTCCTCCATGTCTGTGCCGAGCTCCAAGCCCGAGACAGGTTCCACACACAGGGACTCCCTCACAGCCAAGCCCCAGGCCAGGAGGTCAGCTTTCGAACCGCTCTGGGATTCCTCTCCATCATGGGAAAGGAGCCAGGACATCCTGTCCTGCCAGGTCTAAGGATGCTCCAAGGTAGGGAGCTCCAGTATTGCCCACCGAGGTGAGCAGGACTGCCTCCCCCATATCCACCAGGGACACCCAGGGTGAAGTTCTCAGCTCGGGGACAGGCCAAGACCATGGCCCCATTGGCCACTGATTTCTCCCCCATGGTCCTGCCTCACTTGAGGAAAAGCCCTCAGAGGTGATGGGACCACGTCTGCCAGACCGGAGAGGACGGGCACTCTCACCCCCTGAGGCTGAGCCTGCACAGGGCTCTCAGCAGGTCCCAGGAGGCCTCCAGGGCTGACCCTGGGCAGCAGGCGAGGGCCTCGGCTGAGCCTCCACCAAGGAGCATTCTGGAGACAAGTCATCAGCCAACCATGTCTAACAAGGACCGGGTCAGAGACCCTCCTCTGGCCCCACCCCCCTAAGGGATAAGGATGAGGATGGCCGATGCGGAGCCTCTTCCTGTCACGTTCCATCCCAGGCTTGATTCAGACTCAGAGAGAAGCCAGGGGAGGGCGGAGGGTCCTGTACCTGTTGTTGTTGGAAGAGAGGCAGCTAGGGATGACATTGTGGAAGAAGCTGTCCATGAGTCTGAAAGGGAGAACAGAGAGAAAGGCCATGGTGAGGCCTCAGGAAAGGAGTCCTTCCCAAAAGGGTGGGTCGGTCAGGGTGACTTTCCCATGTGCCTCCTGCACGTGCCCCCCGCCTGTCCACAAGCCTCCCGCTCGGCTGGGTCATCGGGGTCGAAGGCCTGGGAGAGACCAGCCGCATCCCTCCACGTCTCTGACCGCCAAGTACCGCCCCATCGGAAGACCTTTCCCATCTCTCCCCCATGAGGCAGGCACTCACTGGTGGCTTGAGGTGTTGGCCTGACTCTGAAGCTTTTATAGAAAGAGTCAGGGCCTGGTGAATGAACCTGGAGGCAATCACAGGTCCACCCAGGGTGGAGTTCCACGTCTCCGGGGACAGGCCAAGACCGTGGCCCCCATTGGCCACTTATTTCTTCTCGATGGTCCTGCCTCACCTGAGGCAAAGCCAGCGGAGGTGATGGGACCACGTCTGCCAGACCAGAGAGGACAGGCACTCTCACCCCCTGAGGCTGAGCCTGCACAGGGCTCTCAGCAGGTCCCAGGAGGCCTCCAGGGCTGACCCTGAGCAACAGGCGAGGGCCTCGGCTGAGCCTCCACCAAGAAGCATTCTGAAGACAAGTCATCAGCCAACCATGTCTAATGAGAACCGGGTCAGAGACCCTCCTCTGGCCCCACCCCCCTAAGGGATAAGGATGAGGATGGCCGATGCGGAGCCTCTTCCTGTCACGTTCCATCCCAGGCTTGATTCAGACTCAGAGAGAAGCCAGGGGAGGGCGGAGGGTCCTGTACCTGTTGTTGTTGGAAGAGAGGCAGCTAGGGATGACATTGTGGAAGAAGCTGTCCATGAGTCTGAAAGGGAGAACAGAGAGAAAGGCCATGGTGAGGCCTCAGGAAAGGAGTCCTTCCCAAAAGGGTGGGTCGGTCAGGGTGACTTTCCCATGTGCCTCCTGCACGTGCTCCCTGCCTGCCCACAACCCTCCCGCTCAGCTGGGTCATCGGGGTCGATGGCCTGGGAGAGACCAGCCGCATCCCTCCACGTCTCTGACCGCCAAGTACCGCCCCATCGGAAGACCTTTCCCATCTCTCCCCCATGAGGCAGGCACTCACTGGTGGCTTGAGGTGTTGGCCTGACTCTGAAGCTTTAATAGAAAGAGTCAGGGCCTGGTGAATGAACCTGGAGGCAATCACAGGTCCACCCAGGGTGGAGTTCCACGTCTCCGGGGACAGGCCAAGACCATGGCCCCCTTTGCCACTTATTTCTTCTCGATGGTCCTGCCTCACTTGAGGCAAAGCCAGCGGAGGTGATAGGACCACGTCTGCCAGACCGGAGAGGACGGGCACTCTCACCCCCTGAGGCTGAGCCTGCACAGGGCTCTCAGCACGTCCCAGGAGGCCTCCAGGGCTGACACTGAGCAACGGGGGAGGGCCTTGGCTGAGCCTCCTCCCAGAAGCACTCTGGAGACAAGACATCAGCCAACCATGTCTAACAAGGACCTGGTCAGAGACCCTCCTCTGGCTCCACCCCCCTAAGGGACAAAGATGAGGATGGCCCAAGCGGAGCCTCTTCCTGTCACGTTCCATCCCAGGCGTGAGTCAGACTCAGAGAGAAGCCCTGGGAGGGTGTAGGGTCCTGTACCTGTTGCTGTTGGAGAAGAGAAACTTGTGGAAGCAGTTCTCCACGAGTCTGGAAGGGACAACAGATAGAAAAGACGTGGTGAGGCCTCAGGAAAGGAGTCC